GTTGTGTTGACCAAACAAATATTTATTTAATAAGTAAAGTTACATTTAAAGGGTGATTGACTGAATTTCTGCACAGTAATTCTGTGAAAGTTTGGGGACTAAAGGCATACTAGGTAAATTACTACCTCGAGAATGTTGACCTTACATGGGACAATTTCAGTATGGTAAGTATGATTTTATCATGATTATAGTACACTATCAGTCACCAGAAGCTCTAGATGACATCACGTACATGTACTATTAATTTTCTTAAAATGGAATGATGGGTAGACAGTATTAGGGAAGACATCAAAAGCTTGAAACTGCAGAAGGCCAACCCGCTAGACAGAGGCAGCTGGAGAGCAGCTATTAGACCTAAACGACACCCCACAACGTCCAACCCTTGCATGACAGGGAACGGACGTTAAGCTGTGCAGTGAGTGAGTGAGTGGAAGTTCCTACCTTGAGAATGTTGAGGTCATACTGGATGAAACCTTTAAAGCAGACGCGCGCTCGAACGATATCCAGGTTATAGTTGATGATGCCAAAATTGGCGGTGGCGTACACTTCATCCAGAACATCGATTCCAAACCTCCCGTTCAGAAGTGCTGAGTCACAACAGAAGAGTAAAAAAAATGGTTTAGTTTGGTCAAACAGTACCCGTGCAATTGCAGCCTTTATAGCGCTGAAGTGAAGCAGGATTTACAATCGGTTTACAATCACATTTAAGCATCAATCAATAATCACAAACAATCACGTAATATACATACAACATATCTGCTCCACACACGTTCTGTGGAACTGTTGCGGCTGCCATTCGGCACTACAAGGTGACCTCAATACGACTTTCCCCAACCGAAGTTAGGTACCCATTCACACCTGGGTGGAGTGAGGAAAGTCGAGTAAAGTGCCTTTCCCAAGGGCACAACATCAGGGTGCATGTCCAGACATGTCCCGGGTACAACTCGGGATCGAACCCGGGCCTCCCCGTTTCATAGTCCGAAATAATCTACCACTATGCCACCTGATGCCTCAATGACAAGACAATTAGTAGAAAACTATCAACAAAGATTGTAACAATGCTGCATGTATGATTGTAGTTGACAAACCTTGCTCTAATAAAGCATTAGATATTCTATAGTGCATATAACATGTCGTTTGTTTATCACAAAATTACATTCATCTAGATCTGACCTTGGAATGATAGACTACTTGTACCTAACAATGTACGTAAATATCATTTATTTTTTTTATGCTGTGCCTGAAAACTTTATTTATTTATTTATTTATTGAGCTTTACAGATTTAAAAAAAAAATCTGTGAGGAGCCGGCAACTTCTAGAATGTCTGAGTGTTCAATCCTG